GAAAAGAAAGATTGTTGTGAGCAGCTGCCAAAAAAAAAGAAGGAATTTGGGCTCTCTGAGCAGATGCAGCTGCTTTAGCAGGGACATTTGTACCCACACACCTGCAGGGCAGGTGAGCCTGCCCTTCCCAGCCTGTCCCAGCTCTGCCAAATGCTGGGAAAATCTGGAATGATGAGGAAATCACAAATTCAAAACCCACAGTCATCCCCTGGAACATCTTCCCAACAGACAGCTCGTGGTTAGCAAAGAATTCTGCAAAAATCTGAGTTTAAGGGTAGAAATTTCCTTCCCCACTTCTCTTTTTTTTGGGGGGAAGAGAGGAGGGAGGAGATGGATTTCCAACATCCCATTCCTTGAACACATATGAGGTGTCCACATGAAGCAAAACACTCCACAGAAGGAATGTTTCAACCTTTTTATTATTATTTTAACCTCAACTTGCTAATTCCAAGGAAAAGCCAAGTTGTGCATTTCTCCTCACACTGCAGGCCTGCTGTACTGAACAGTCAGGATAATCTTCTGGAAAAGAACTCAGGGAAGAGCTATTCCATGATTTCTCACACAGAAATATTTGTATTTAAATGAAACAAAAGCAGCTTTGTTTACTGCTCTCCATAATCCCCCAGATCTGCTGGAATCACGATGGTTGGGATAAATGAAAGCTTCCACCATTCTCCTAAATGAACTGGTTTTGACTGAGGGGGATACAGCTTTATCTTCATTAATTAACATGGAATAATTAACCCTGGCCATGGGTACAAACCTCCTTGGACTGGCTGGCTTTGGCTATGGCATCCTGTGTCAGGCGCTCCTGAACCAAAATCCGAATTGCCTGGAAAAAAAAAAAAACATGGAAAGGGGACAGGAATTAATTCATGTCTTGAGGAATTTCTCAGTAATTCTACAGGAAAAAGAGTCAAAATTATAACCTCAAACCAAGTTCTGTGACAGGGTGTGTTTTATATATATATATATATATTTTTTTTTAAACTCTCCAGCCCTTAAATCCTTCCCATTTAGGAATAATCTTGGCATGTAGGATCTCACCCAGGTGTGCAAGGCAGTTTAACCAGAAGTGACAAGAACATTGATTTCACACCATTAATTCCTGCCACTCCTGGGACAGAAGGTGCAAAATACAAGGAATAGCCTAGAAAGTTTGGGATTTTTATGCTGGAGAAAAAAAGAGGTTCAGGAAGGTGACAGGAGGGAGGAGCCAGGTGGGGGATTGGGATCTCCTCACAGGAAAGAAGAGACAGGACAAGAGGAAATGGCCTCAAGCTGGATTTTAAGGAAAATTTCTTCCTGGGAAGGGTGGACAGGCATTGGAAAGGGTTTCACAGTGGTGGAATCCCCATCCCTGGAGGGATTTCAAATCTGTGTGCATTTGGCACTTGGGGACACGTGGGGATGGCTGGGCTCGATGATTTCAAGGTCTTTTCCAACCAAACCAAATCCACGATTCCTAAATGAGCTGATCACAACCCCAAAGCAGCAGCACCAATCTTATTTTCCTGAATTCTCACACCTTTCAATCTGCAGCAACGCAGCTCCTCTGGGAAGGAAACGCTGCTGGCAGCATTTTTGAGGAGGTGCTGAACCTCCCATATGCAGAAAAACCTGGGGCAAGGCTTCCCAGGCAGGCTTGGAAAAGATTGAGAGCAGAAAAGAATTAATTTTAGCCTTGGGGAATAAGAGCAGCCTTGAGTTTGACAATCCTGGTGCTCATCTGTGTTCCCTGGACTCCAGCACATGGGGTGAAATCCTATCAGAGCTATCAGTTACTGATACCTACAGCTCCAAATGCCTCCAAAAATAACTGCAGGAACACCATGCAGGCAGATTTATTTCCACAGGAAAGAAGAAGTGCCTCTGTCAAATACATTGCTCACACTCTCCCTGATGAGCAGCCAAAAGTGACAGAAGCAGTTCTGTGTTTCTCTCCCCGTTTTGGTCATGATTAAAGTTGGGCTGATACCAAAAAGTTGTCACTTAAAATACTTCTAGAAATTTGTCACTGAAGGAAGTGGCCTGGACAAAGGAATGGTTTGATGGGGAGTTGAATTCCAGCAGTGAAACCAGACCTTGTGGAAGAGAATTCCAAGTGCCTTTGGCATTAGGAAATATCCAACTGTGTCCCACAGATGATTTCTGATCAACTTGCCAGGTTTAAATGAAGAAAATGGGGTGTAAATCTCTGCTCACCCTGGCCAGATGTTTGTGGTGTGCCTGCACCCTCTGGCTCTCCCAAAACATTCACTCCTGAGTGTCCAAGCCTGAAGAGGGATCAGAAATTCCCTGCAAATTTGCTTTTTGTGGGGAAAAATTCAAGAGTTGGATTGACACCCTCTAATATCATCATCTCAACCCCAAAACCGGTTTTGCATTGTTCCTGGAACGTGGATTTTCACTGCAGGAATCCACTCTTACTGGAATTAAAAGCAAGAAAATTCAGGCTGGTTTTGCACAAACCTGTCTGACAAAAAGACATGTGGAAATGGCGACAGAAATGTAAATACATTTATGCAGAATTATACACCCAGGAAAGTCTGCCAACCCTGGGAGAAGATCTGAAGGAATTTTGGAAAGAGCTGAACTCATTCATGCTGCAAATCCTCAATATCACCAAACCAGGGTCTGCTCTCCCTACCTGATATCCCTTTTCACTGATTTTTGGGGGGTTTTGAGGTGTTTTAACTCCTTAAAGATTGAGAAAGGATATTTAGGAAAGGGAAAGTAGGAAACCATACTGGAAAGAAGGAGAAAAAAATAAATGGAATAACTGCAGGCTGAGAATTCTTCAAGAAACCAGGTTATCATAATATTCTTCCAAGAATTACAGACTTACACTAAATAAACTTCAATACCCACAGCTTTTGGTTTCTCCAAAATAAATTTAGCAAATATCAAAACTATTGTGATGAACAGAACTTCATGGGGTTTTTTTAATCAGTGAAATGCTTTTATTTTAATGCCACACAAATTTAAATTTATTCCCATATTATGACATGATCAAGTAGGAATTTGGGATTTTACACTCTCATCAATAATGTCTTTTTAATTCAAAAAACCACAGTATGGGTTTGACCCAAAATCTATAGAATTCCACCAGAAAGCCAGAAATTTTCTTAAAGGCATAAAAAAGATGGTTTAGAAAATTAAGTAGTGTATTTATTATTAAAAACCATAATTAGTTGTCAAAACTAAATTAAACTGATTTCAGTAATGACAACGAGCAAACAGTTCATAGGATCAAAAGAAAAAGGAAACTTTTCACTGCAGCTCCTCCCTTGGATATTGGTTTTAAAACATCCTTGGCATCATTAACTTTTAAATTTTCAAGTTTCTCTTAATTTCTAGCACTGGAACAGAATCTTCTCTTTTGAGGATGCTCCTTAAGGAACTCAGCTAAAATTGTTTACCAGGATAATTCTCCCTGCATGAATTTCCATGGTTTATCTTCTGTGTTCTTATCTGCTTAAAAAGACACAGAGTTGGTTTTTTTTTTTTTCCTATCTTTGCTTAAAAATTCCTATTTATCACACTGCACCTCAAGCTATAAACACACACCAGGGGCTGGGGAAAAGAAGGAAAAAAAGAGGTGGAAAAAGTGTGAAACTCACCTTGAGCATCACTAAGTAATCATCATGTCTCTGGATCTGAAGCAGATTAGCCAAAGCCATCACCCCAGCCTTAAAATCAGGATTATTCACTGGAAAAAAAATAAGGATTATGATTCAAAAAAAATGATAATTTCTTTTGGTTTAACTAATTCCAGCAGGCAGAATTGGTTTCCTGATTCCATGGTATTGGATTGCTCTGAAGGATGAACAATTCCTCCCCATCCTTGAAGAGTTCAAAAAAAAAAAAAGGATGTGGCACTTGGGGACATTATTTAGTGGTAAATGTGGCAGGGTTTTTTCCAATCCTAATTCCATGATTCCAAGCCCATGGATATACAGCAGTGAGGAAAAAAATTTGGCTACAGATCAATCAGCACTGGGCTGCATAACCAGGTGAAGTATTTGAAAATAAAAGCAAATTACAGGCAGATATTCTCTCTTCTGTACATTATTTTGATTATTTTGTATCTTTTTATCCCTGCACAGCAGAAATCTGCTGCTGGTGAGGGCAGGATCAATCCCTGCCTTCTTGGTGATGGAGGAATGGAAAAAGATTTGGAAGATTTAGGGTTGATTTTAGCAGCTCTTTCCCATCATTTTTGATTTAGTGTGACTGTGCCTAGCAGGAAAACAAATATTAAAATTATTATGACAGAACAGCTGGGTAAAACTGAGCCAACATGAAAATCCTGACAGCATGGAAATAACCATCCTGCCATCATATTTCCTTATTTTATTAGATATTTTTATTTTTTTAAGGCATCTTGCTACTTCTCCCTCACCTACAATGAGTAATTATGATTTACAGAGCAAAGCTGCTCATGTAAATGTTCAGCTTTGCATTCCTAAAGCTTTAAATTGGACTTTAAAAAAAATCTGCATCACCAGATTAACCAAATTCCAGTGTGAGGAACACACAGACAATGGAGCACGTTCCCTTCCAGGAGCTTGTGGCACACTCACCATCCAGGTTAATCAGTGGCTCTGCATTTTTTGCTGTGTTGTCAGCATTTTTAGCACCATCAGGGGTGGAATCCTTGTATTTATCAGCTGCAAAATGAGGAGGCAAACACAAAAATCATCAGGATGGATGGCAAAAAGAACCAACTCAAAGTTTAGCAGGGAGCTGTGGTGTCACAGCTGAATTTTTTGGGGTGTGGTAGTTACCCAAAAGCCTTGTGGGATAACAAACTGAGATTTCTGGGTTTATAAACTGGGATTTTGGAGCTCCTCACCAAAAGATGCCCAGCCCATTGAGCTGCCCCAAGAGTTCCCAGCTGCACAGAGATTCCAGCAGCAGCCTCAGAGGCTGCTCCACACTTTTATTCAGGGCAGGATGCTCTTCATCACAGCCTCACCCCTGAAAGCTGCACCTCCCACATTTGCCAATTTTAAAACCCACCAGCTCCACTGTCAGGGCCCTCTGCTTCAAGCAGGGATCAAAAATTAGGGGATGATGTTGGTCCTGACGAGCAAATCAAACATTTCCAGCTCAGGGTTTGTTTCAAAGCCCACACAGGGGTTTTCCAAACTTTTGGGGGATGGAATCTCCTGAACTCCTCTTTTTTCACACAATCCCAAGGAACAGGCAGCTCATTTTGCCCATCATGAGGGACTGAGAATCACATCACAGGTATTTATATCCCATTCCTGCCCTGGGCAGAGCTCAGCCCTGCAGGAATTAATGGTAATGGAAAACCAGCACTTTGGCTGTTGTTATTTTGTCACCAGTAATTACATTTGTATTCCCACTCTCTCCACGAGGAGATGGAACTGCTGTGACTGGGGACACTGAACTCCACTTTTTCCTAACCTTGTCCTAGTTCCCAAGGGTTCCACATCCACTCCTTGTTAAAAAAAAAAAAAAAAAGTGTGTGGGGGGGGGTCTAAGAATAACTTCTCTGAATACAAGCAGTACTAAATATAATGCATTTAATATACTTCAGAGGAAGTTCTCATAAAGGCAATCCCACAGGGAGAAGGGGATAAATATCTACAATGGGATTGGCTCTATCCAGAAATAAAATAAAATAGCAAATGCAATTATGCTGCTCCAGTCCTGTGGGAGCTGGAAAGAAACAGTTCCTCTGAGTATGGGGTGGAAACAAGCACATGAAATCGTGTTTAATTTTTTTAAAATAAGTGAAATATAGTTTTGACACTGCCTGATTTTGATGAAAACTTTCAAACCATGTGAGTTTATGCAGGGGAAGGAATCCCTGCCCACGGCACTCAGTGGTGTGTGCAAGGGCACTGTGACATCACAGCACATTTGGTGACAGAGTGAGGGTGACACCTCATGTCCCCACGCTGCAGAGCTCCAGGTGCCAGCCAGGGATGGCCTGAGCAGGATCCCAGAGGGATGCCTGGCCTGGACCAGCTCCTCTTGGTGGCCCTTGGGCTCAGCTGTTTCTACCCTGGCAGCAGCACCCGCTCCTGCCCACCCTCCTGGGCCACCCTGGTGTGGGATGTGCCCCCCCTGGAGCAGAAGGGCAGTGCCCACAAGGGCATGTCCACGCCAGAGGTGCTTTTGTGGAGCATCTCAGCCCTGTGCCTGCTGCTCCTGGGGGTTTTCCTCAGCTGCAAAGTCAGGAACCACTGGAGAAAGGTGAGGGAGGGTGGTGCCAGGTGGCCAGGAGCCCATGGGGACAAGGAAGGGCCTTGTCCAACCCCAGCAGGCAGAGGTGGGTCCTGGCCACTGTGGAGAAAAGCAGGACAGGCTTAGAATTCCTGGGGATTGGAATGAGATGGGGTTTAAGGGACTTTCCAACCCAAACTGATGCCTTGAGGAGCTGGAGCAGAGGCTACACACAGAGTTAAGGGGAATAAAATGGGTGTTTATTGTGAGGCCTACAAAAGCCACACCATGGCAAT